AACACCAAACGTCACGGTGCCACTCTTGGTTTGCATTGCAGACACGAAACACACTCCAGCCTATTCACTGGTGAAACGTCAGAGAAAAGGATGGCTGTGACGTTACCAGAATTACAGAATCACAGAAAAACCAGGCTTAGAGAGATCTGCACAACGTGAAATGTCACCATTCAAGTCCAGCCTGGAAAGCAAGATCATTTTCTCTACAAGGCATACTTTGACTCACAAAGAACCTCCATTTCTGGAAGCAGCAATACATGGTTAGCTGAGGAATAAAAACAAAAACAAAAACAAAAACCTGTCAAAACCACGGTGGAAAGTAAAACAAGCAAACAAAAATAGTCCTAGTTTGTTGGTTCCTGAAAAAAGTAAATTAGGAAACCATGAAATGAAGTCACAAGTATATATTCTGAAGAACCTCAGTTTGATGAATTAAAGGTCATCTGTTCGCATCAGCAAGTTTCTTCCATTTGACTTTGACTCCTCATGTCGCAACTCAGGCACACTCCAGGGTCCTTCCTTGCCTGGACGGGTGTAGCAGACTCTTGCCTCGCCTCCCAACTTCCTCCTGGCCCAACAGTTCAGTCTCAACACGTTCCTGCTGATCCTGTACACTGGAAGCCAGGGAGCTACACTAACATTACCACAGTGAAATACCACAGGCTTGGGGAGGCACAGGTGATCCAACAACAGAAATTTATTTCTCACGGTCCTGGAGCCTGGGACTTCTGAGCTCAGGGCACCAGCACGGCTGCATTCTGTTGAGGGCTCTCTTCCTGGCTTGTTGGCACCTTCTCATGATTCAGCCGCGGAGCAGATCTGGTCTCTCCTGCGTCTCTCATAAGGGCACTAATCCTATCATGGCAACCCCATCTTCCTGACTGCCTCCCAAAGGGTCCCCACCTCCAGAACCATTTAGGGGTTAGGGATTCAACATAGGAGTTTGAAGGGAGGGAGACACAAACACTCATTCTGTAACACCAGGCATGGAGCTCTCCTCTGCTCAAATTCTTCCAATGGCTGATAATATCTTTACAATGGCCCCTGGGGAGGGCACAGCTCACTAGCAAAAGTACTTAGGAAGAGAGAGAACTTCCTGGTGGTCAGTGGGACTGCAGTATGATTCAGGCACTAAGTATGGGGGGCCAGAGACAACTGAAGATTATTCCACATATGGACCTGCTCTGATGTTCTGCCAGACACAGCCAAAAACCTTTAAAAATTACCCAAACCTTCAACCTGTTTTACACATAAGCACAAAAGTACTTTTCACAGCTGCATGCACTGAATTTTCTTGGAATGTAAGTATATGTAAGTCAGGTGCGGCTGTACTTTTGTCTGGAACACGACCAGGATCATTCACCAACTTGGGAATCCCATCACCATCGGCACGGTGGTATTCCAGCCTGCATTTGTTCCTGTCTGCATTCACTCTCAGGTGGAGTGTCAGCACATGCCTGGGCATTTATATATTAAATTATGTATGTGTGATTAAAAATTACTTTCCTAGTGCATCGGGTTTAGATTACTAGGGAGCAATTGGTTTCTTCCGGAAACTGTGTGTATATGTAGGTTATTGTCTATAAATTTTGTTTCAGGACAGTAAGAGGGGCACCTTTATAATAAATACTGTGCAAAGGGAGTCCTGGGTCCCTCCTGCCCTATCTGGCTAGTCCCATTACCTCTCGGAGCTGATCTCGCCTCCGACACTCCACTGTAACCACAACCACTTCTCTGCTCTCCTCTGCCGTGCCAAGGACACCCCCACCATGCCTTTGGCCTGGAAGACGGCCTGGCCTCCCTAAGATCTTACTCAAACAACACCTTCTCACGGAAGCCTTCCTTGTTTAAAACTGCAGGCCCCAACACACACACACACACACACATCCACACACACACACACACACACACACACACCCTCACCCCGGTACTGCCCATTCCACTTCCCCACTTCGTTCTCCACAGTGCCTATCACCACTAAGAAATTTCCTTCCTGCCGTTTCCCCACTAGAATGAAAGATCGATAAGAGCAAGGATTTTGCCTGTTTTGTTCACTTGTTGCGTTCTCAGGGTCTAGAACAGTCTCTCTGGATACCTTTATAATCTATCGACATATTAACAGTTTAGTAATATTGATTTTGAAATCTTTGGTTAGAACCACAAGACTAATTTGAAAACTTCAGGTGTTCATGCATTACCATCACTCATCTTTATACAGAAATATAAATTGAGGTTATTGGTATCAAGAGCTGAATTTAAATTTAAAAATTCAGTTGATGCTAAGAAAAACAATGAGGCTTATAAACAAACAATACTTGAATTACTAGACTTTAACATCAGAATTCTCGAATACTCTCTTTATGGGTCTTTTAACTGCCCCCCCCCCCCCCCCTAATCAGGTCACTGGATTCTACCCCGGCTTCTGGCACACCTCTCATCCTTTCCATGCCTGCCCTTCCCCTGGCCCCTTCTCAGGTTGCTTTCCTGTCTCTCATCTCCCACACTGCTGGATTCATCTGAAAATGGAGCACTGGTTGAGTCACTCACCTGCTTACGCATGTTAATGGCTGTCAACTTCCTGTTGTATCAGTAAGGCTCACCTACCCTGTGGTCCTCTCTCCCTCCCTCCCTCTCCCCCTCCAAAATATCACCAGGCTCCTGCTGACGGGGCCAGTCCCTGCACCCAGAACTGCTGCTTCCTTTGCTCTTTCCTAGGCCTCACTCCCAACTGAAACTCAGTTCAGCCACCAAGGCTCACCACCAATACCACAGCCTTCAGATGGGTGTGGGCTCACAGCACAGTATTAGTACCTCTCTTAGGTGATCTTAGAACTCTGCTCTGTGCTGAAGTTCTGTGTACTTCTCTTCTCTCCCTATCAGCCTGTGGCTCCTTGGGGACATGGTCTCCCTTTTTCTTCTTTGTGTCCCATACAGTAGATACATATGAAGAAAAAGGGCAAATTCTTTCAGTTCTAATTTACAAGACAGAACAGATTGAATTGTATGTGTGACTAACAAACAAGACAGCACAGTTTTGCTGGATATAGCTGAGGCTACACACGGAAATGAAAATTCAAGAGAAGGTTAACTTAAAAACAATGCAGGCTGGGGTGGGTATTGTAGCACACATTAAGCTACCACGTGGGGTGCCTGCATCCTAAATCTATGTGCCAGTTTGAGTCCTGGATACTCTTTTTTTTTTTTTAATTTATTTTAATTTATTTATTTGAGAGGCAGAGACAGAGAGAGAGGTCTTCCATTGGCTAGTTCACTCCCTAAATGGCCACAATAGCCAGAGCTGGGCTGATCCAAAGCCAGGAGCCAGGAGCTTCTTCCCGTCTCCCACACGGGTGCAGGGGCCCAAGTACTTGGGCCATCTTCTGCTGCTTTCCTGGACAGAAGCAGAGAGGAAGAGGAGCAGCCAGGACTCAAACTGGCACCCATATGGGATGCTGGCACTACAGGTGGAGGTCTAGCCCGCTACACCATGGCGCTGGCCCCAGACACTCACTTCTGATCCAACTTCCTGCTAATACATCCTGGGAGGCAGCAAAAGGTAGCTGAAGTGCTTGGGACCTGGCCACCCACGTGTGAAACCCAGACTGAGTCCCAGGCTCTTGGCTTCAGCCTGGCCCACCCCTGGCTGCTTTGAGCATTTGGGGAATGAACCAGCAGATGGAAGCTCTGTCTCTGTCTTTGCCTCTCTGCCTTTCAAGTAAATGAAAATAAATAAATATTTAATGTTAAAAGAAATACATACAGAGAAAAATAAAGCAGAAGAATGAAGTGGCTCAGGGTAGACGTCGTGCCTAGGAACGCTGAAACCAAGAGCCAGGCCTTAGCAATTCAACAGCTAAAATGTTTCTCTCAGTCCTTTTCTGACTTGTTGATTTTTATCAAAATAGGAACTGCTGAAATTTAAGGAACTCTGCTTCCATGTGTTTTAAGAACACATGAAGGAGACACAGTACAGATGACGTTCTTGGAGCCCATGAAGCAATGCCCAAAGCCAGCTCTGCAGTCTTCTTGTGGTACTTGCTCCAGAGAGAGCTGGTCCTTAAGATTCTGGCTGACCTAGGCAGGGCCCACACTAGTGAGGCAGGATGCCCGTGGTACCCCATTGGTTACCACCAACTGGCGGTAACCAGGTTTGCTACTGAACTGACAAGATGACCTTCTGACATACACCAATATTTTTCCAGGTAGAATACTGTCTCAGAACACTTTATTAAGAAAGGAAACACACTCTGTGTGCTTATGAAAATAATGAGCCACAGAGTAAGTGATGGGAGAAAACAAGGCAGCCAGATGCAAGCCTAAGGTCAAATGAGAATTACTACGGACCAGAGATGACGTGGAGAGACCCAAACCCTTGGGTTTGCATGGATTTATCTGGGAAGATTACACTGGAAATCAAATACACTTTCCCAGCTGTGGGGCTCGACTCTGCTAACTACCACCAGGTTGGTAAGATCATCAGATGGACGCGTGAAGTTCAAGATAAACAAGTTCAGTCATTTACTGCTCTTACTGTAATAACCCAATAAAGTGGTTAGCTTGGATGAATGCCAAATCTTACCACCCTCAATTATTTTAGCTTCTACAAGACAAAGAGTAATTTGAGGTGTCGACAAGATATCCTCTTATGATTATGATTACAAGATTCTAATCATCAGAATTTAGCAAATTTAATGCAGCATGCTTTCATAAAGACCAACCAACCAGAGCTATTAATACAACAGCCTACAGGCATTTAAACATGACATTTTGACCAAAGCTAAATCAAAAAAGAAAAAATAATGCTTCTTCAACTAATGCACTGAGTGGATAATCACAACAACTAACGCTGCAAATACACCCGCCAGAAGAATTCCTCCTCCTCTCTGATTTCCTTCTCCTTTTAAATTTTATTAACGAACCAACCTTTTTCTCTTTATCTGGAATGTGCTTACTTGTAACAGCTGATACAAATGTCCATGTTATCCAACAACCCAACTTACCTTCCTTTAAAGTCCACTTGATTGAGCCTGTCCTCTTGCTGACAGCATGCAAACTTCCATCCAGGGTCGATACAAACAACAAGGTTTCAGGAAGTGTCACTGTGCTGGAACTTCCAAATATCTGCAATGGGAGGTGAGAAGAATCCTCACATCAACATGACTGCTCACCGTGGGCATGTACAATCACAAACCTCCATCCCCAAAGTTATCCTTTGAAAATCCCCCGCTTAGGAGACCCTAAATTCCCAACCAGGCACGTGTTTAGACAATGCTGAGTCAGGTCTGGAACACAGTCGCCTTTTTCTATCTAAACAGATCCTACCTGCAGACAGACAGGCTCATGATTTAATGTGGCAAAAACAGAAATTCTGAAATAACCCACGGGCAGCCTCTGCTGAAACAGAGGGGCATGGTATGCTCAGCTTTCTGACTTCCTTCTCTTGGGTCTATTTTACTCTCTAAAACCTAATCATCTTGTCTTTATGATAAAGAAGAATGCTAACAACCCACACTTATGGAGACATTTTAAAAAGCAATGAATTATGGGAAAGTATTTAAAGTAAAATAGGAAAACAAGCTTTCATTATATAAAAAACTTAAGTAATAACCATCAAGATTCCAATAAAGACATGATATAAAACAAAAGGAATTAATAGCATAACCCCCACCTGTTCTTTGTTTTTAAAAAGATTTACTGGGGCTGGCACTGTAGTGTAGAGGGTACAGCCACTGCCTGTGGTGCTGGCATCCCATATGGGCACTGGTTCAAGTCCCGGTTGCTCCACTTCCGATCCAGCTCACTGTTAATGTACATAGGAAAGCATCGGAAGACAGCCCAAGCGTTTGGGCCTCTGTACCTATGTGGGAGACCCGGAAGAAGCTCCTGGCTTCAGCTGGGTTGGCCCAGCTGTGTGGCCATTTGGGGAGTGAACCAGCGGATGGATGACTTCTCTCTCTCACTCCCGCTCTCTAACTCTACCTTTCAAATACATAAAATAAATATACTTTAAAAAATAAATATTTATTTTATGTATTTGAAAGGGTGTCTCACTCTCTCTCAGAGTGAGAGACAACAAGAGTGAGAGAGAGAGAGAGAGAGAAACAGATTGATCTTCCATCCACTGATTCACTCCCCCAAATGGCAGCAATGACCCAGGCTGGGCCAGGCTAAAGCAGAGCCTGGAACTCCACCCAGGTCTCCCACAAGGGCAGCAGGGACTCAAGCACTTGGGCCATCTGCTGCTGCCTTTCCAGGTACATTAGCAGGGAGCAGGATTGGAAGTGAAGAGGCAGGACTTAAACCAGTGCTCTGAAATGAGATGCCAGCATCAGAAGCAATGGCTTACGCTGCCACAACACTGACTACCCTCACTCAGAAACAAAACACAGCTTAACTTAATATATACTTTTTTGGCCAGCGCCGCAGCTCAACAGGCTAATCCTCTGCCTGCGGCGCCGGCACACCAGGTTCTAGTCCCAGTCGGGGCGCCGGATTCTGTCTCGGTTGCCCCTCTTTCAGGCCAGCTCTCTGTATGGCCCAGGAGTGCAGTGGAGGATGGCCCAAGTGCTTGGGCCCTGCACCCTATGGGAGACCAGGAGAAGCACCTGGCTCCTGTCCTCGGATCAGTGTGGTGCGCCGGCTGCAGTACACCAGCCGCGGCGGCCATTGGAGGGTGAACCAACGGCAACGGAAGACCTTTCTCTCTGTCTCTCTCTCTCTCACTGTCCACTCTGCCTGTCAAAAAAATAATAATAAAAAAATTAATATGTACTTTTTTTGCTCAATGAATTTTTAAATAAATTTTAAAGAAAATAGCCCAAGGGGCCAGCACTATGGTGCAGCAAGTTAATGCCCTGGCCTGAAGTGCCGGCAACCTATATGGGTGCTGGTTCAAGACCCGGCTGCTCCACTTCTGATCCAGCTCTCTGCTGTGGCCTGGGAAAGCCACTGAAAGAACCCAATTTCCAATAATATCTCAAATTTGGGGCTGGTGTTGTGGCAGAGCATGGGAAAAGCCGCCCCATGCAGTGCCTGCATCCCATATGGGCACCAGTTCAAGTCCCAGCTGCTCCACTTCTGCTCCAGCTCTCTGCTATAGCCTGGGAAAGCAGTGGAGGATGGCCCAAGTCCTTCGGCCCCGGCAGCCATGTGGGAGACCCGGAAGAAGTTCCTGGCTCCTGGCTTCAAATTGGCACAACTCTAGCCATTGTGGCTAGTTGGGGAGTGAACCAGCAGATGGAAAGACCTCTCTCTCTCTGCCTCTCCTTCCTTCTGTGTAACTTTTTTTTTTTTTTTTTTTTTTGACAGGCAGAGTGGACAGTGAAAGAAGAGACAGAGAGAAAGGTCTTCCTTCGCCGTTGGTTCACACTCCAATGGCCGCCGCAGCCGGTGCGCTGCAACCAGCGCACCGCGCTGATCCGATGGCAGGAGCCAGGTGCTTATCCTGGTCTCCCATAGGGTGCAGGGCCCAAGCACTTGGGCCATCCTCCACTGCACTCCCTGGCCACAGCAGAGAGCTGGCCTGGAAGAGGGGCAACTGGGACAGAATCCAGCGCCCCGACCGGGACTAGAACCCGGTGTGCCGGTGCCGCAAGGCGCCAGCCCTTTCTGTGTAACTCTTTCAAATAAATAAATAAATCTTAAAAAAAAAAAAAAGGACACATATGCTTAGAAAAACCTACAATATAGAAAAATGCCTACACTGCGTACTTTATCAAGTGAAAAATATAGAATACTAACTTTGTTGTACATTATGATTAATCACACTAGACAGACCCTATCCTCTGGCTTTTCTAGGAACTGTACCCTCCCTCACTGGTGGTTTCCGTGGTGACTGTGTGTGTGTGTGTGTGTGTGTACACATACCTCTAGGTGACAGCTGCTAAGGCTTCCCTTTTGAGGTAGGGGCTACTTAGCAATGTCACCCTCATAATGAGATTTTCTCTTCCTTTGTCACACAATACTATCCTGAATATTATCTGTCTTGAATAAAAACAAGGCAATGCAACTTGCTTTCACTGCAACAGCTTGAATTCTGGCACAAATGCTGTTTTTACACTATAACATTAAGGCTGGCTTTTAGTGCTACACACAAAAGGATGGGGAGTTACTTGTGCTTAGGACTCTGACCCCAGAATGCCTGGTCACCCTCAGTAAGACCTTCTCTGAGACGGGAAGACCTCAGTGGCTCTCTCCAGGGCAGCCCGAGGTAGCAGAATGAACTCTCTCCTCTCTGCTTTCATTTTCCAAGGGGGTCCCCTGGCAGAGGGGGTGGAACTCCACTCACCAGTCTCTCGGTGTGCCCGGCCTAGAGGCAGAGCAGCTCTCCCCTCTGCGGGGCCTGGCCCACTCCACTGGCAAGGGAGAAGCAACAGCAAGCTGTACTCTGCCTGCCGGGCTGTTCCCTGTGCAAAGCCGTAAGTCGGAGGAGGAAGAGCCTGCTTTTAATTCCACCTCTGGAACTAGGCATTTAGCATCACAGTAGGCCCAGCCAGGAAAACAGAATCCTCAAGGGTGGTGTCTGCTGCAACCACACATCCTCAGGTCACTGTCTGGGGAGGAGTTAGAGCTGTTTTAGCCCACGGGTCCTGGGAGTGACGATCCACATCTGGACCTGCTCCCACCTACAGGCCCTGGCCTGCAGCACAGTGAGACAGGGCTACCTCCCACAGAGGGGGCTGGGTGGCAGTGGCACATGCAGTGGTGCGTCATGCTAGGTGAGGCAGTCTGGAAACAGAACAGTGGAAAGGGTAGATGTGTGCAGACCTGAAGGCCAGGACAGGGAAATCCATACCGATCCCCCTCTATTCACCCATCAAATAATTACCACAGGGATGACTGTCTGATACAACAGAGCTTGGGAGCCACACAAGAACTATGCCGAATTCTCTGGGTAGCTGAGAGACTTCTGTGAAAATGAGTGTGTTTTCTGCCATGTGGAAAGAGCTGCAGAGGGGCTGGCGCTGTGGCGCAGCAGGTTAACATCCTGGCCTGAAGCACCGGCATCCCATATGGGCGCCAGTTCTAGTCCGGCTGCTGCACTTCTGATCCAGCTCTCTGCTATGGCCTGGGAAAGAAGCAGAAGATGGCCCAAGTCCTTGGGCCCCTGCACCCGCGTGGGAGACCCAGAGGAAGCTCCTGGCTCCTGGCTTCGGATCAGCGCAGCTCCAGCCGTTGTGGCCATCAGGGGAGACCTCTCTCTCTGTCTCTACCTCTCTCTGTAACTCTTTCAAATAAATAAAATAAATCTTAAAAAAAAAAAAAAGAAAGAAAGAAAGGGAGAAGGCAGCCCGAGCAGAAACGGCTGAGAGACGGAGAGCGCCTGGCCGCACCTCTCCTGAGGCCCAGCCACGTTCTTCCCTGTGGCTCAGACACCACCCTTGCAACGCAGTCCCCTCTTCACTTAAACCTGCCACTGCCACTGAAACTGTCCACACCCCTACTACTCACAGCCCCACACTCACCCCCGTATACCAAACCTCTACAAACAGAAAGATGAACACTGCAAAACTATCTCAATACTTTTCATTTTACTTTTCGAAATTTTCTACAGTATGATTATGTAATCGGCAATGAATTTTTCGTAAAATGTAAAGGAGATGCTCAAGTGAACAGGTAGAAGAGAAGCTGGAATTGAAAGGATCTCCTATGAATGCCCAAGTTTCAGAGGAAGCACTTTCAACCTGAGGATATTAGACAACTGGACCACCTGTGATCCTATTTTTAAAAATAAATAAAAATATTTATTTTATGTATTTGAAAGACAGGGTGTCTCACTCTCTCTCAGAGTGAGAGACAACAAGAGTGAGAGATATCCACCAAACAAGGGAGAAAATTTTATTTTTTCAGGTTTATTTTTCAAGATGTCTTCTCTCCCTCCCTTCGTCAGAGTGACAGAAAGAGGGAAAAGGAGCGGACAGAGGGAGATCAGTTTTCCATCTGCTAGTTCACTCCCCTGGCTCAGCCAGGTCTGGCCAGTCTGAAGCCAGGAGCCAGGAAATCCATCCTGGTCTCCCACATGGGTGGCAGGGGCTCAGGTACTTGAGACACTTCTGCTGCCTTCTCGGGCACATTAGCAAGGAGCTGGGTTGGAAGCAAAGCAGTTAGGACTTGAACAAGCA